ACTTTACAATCCCAGTTCTCAAAAAAATTCGGTTACCACTGCATCCATTTCAAGCATGGTGCATAAATGGAGTTATAGTTTGGCTAGTTGTATCAAATGATACATGGTAACGAGAATACACCAACTATTTTCCCTGGTTCATAGGGAATTCTGCAGCAAACAGTTGCTGAGGTTTTGATAACAAGCAAGTATCGAGGTGGTAAACACGTAATTTCAGGCATTCATACTAGCGAAAATCGCAAAAGCACATTCAGAGTTGTGTCAGGCAACAGGTGGTTTAGCGCTTATTTTTCAATTCTTCCGAAATCCTGGTCACAGTCACTTTGCGCTCAGATGTTCGAAGACGCAACTTTAAACAACTTGCTCAATTTAATGCCATCGTTATTTTAGTTACACCATTTCGGCTGAAGTCAGCGCCATGGCGGAAGTGCTACTTCAACAGTTTGCGACCAGTTGTGCAATGAAAATTTATTTTGCGCTCAGTTTACATATATTATATGCGGGGTGCCATTTGCAGCTACGCAGGAGGCGAGCGTTGTCCGTAGAGCCAACGACATTTTGTGCTGCCATCATAAGAACAATGACCGCCACTATAACTTTTCCCAGTCAACTGTATCCAATGCGGGATCAAATTCCTCCCTAAGTAACTTATTGTTAGTCTTCACCTTCGGAACTAACTCAAGCCTACGAACGCTGCAATGGTAGCACGCAACGTGTATTCTAATAAAAACATGTACAGAGCATTGAACAATGAACAATGATTTATAACCGGTAAAAAAGAAGGTGCTTGACATGTCCGTCGGATGGTCAGAGTGAGAAAAATAGACCAATGGATAATGGAATCTTCGGTTTGGGTGATCACAGATTTAACTGCACTATCGTACAAAGGGAGTTTGAAATTAGAATGTACGCACACAAAACAATAAGAGGAGTGCTGGTTGATCACGTAATAAGCGAACAAAAATAAAATAGTAGCAAGCATAACGCTTACTCGTGTGCACCTATCTCGAGTCGATGAGATACAGAAATCCAGTTTCTATAGTAGTATCGTTCGTCAAATTATGTGCAAGGCGTTTGGAGTGACTCATTCTCGAGTAGGGTTATGGCACTGTCCACCGTCTGTTGTGCATTTGTGCCAGCATCTGGTGGCGATGGGCTATAGCACGTAGTGTAAATGTGACAGCGTATTGTCAAGGCGTTTTTTTTTGAAGAGGGATAGGGTGGGAGCATTAATTACATGTTCCGGGAGGGCGTTCCAAGGCTGTGACACTCGAAGGGAGAAAAGCTTTCGCCGACATTTCAGTCGGATGTACTGCGTGATCCGTTTACACTGATGACCTCTTAGCGGGGTGTTTTGACTGAGTATCAGAAGGCAATGGCATGAGTGGTTGAGGTTTCTCTGGATCTGGTACACCATCATGAGATCGCCCCTTAAACGCCGATAACGTCCACTGTATATTTTGAGGGTCTGCAGCCTGAGAGGGTAGGAGAGACTGGTCAAACCTCTGACGCTCTTCGTTGCCCTACGTTGTGCAGTATCGAGCGCGGTGAGATGGCGCTTGAGCCAGGGTTGCCACGCTTGGATAGCGTATTCCGCATGAAGCCTCACGTATGCACTAAGCATTTTTGAGAAGACTGAATGGTCAAACTTCCCGAAGGCTCTGCGAAGAAGGCCGAGGTACTGGTTTGCTTTCTTAGATGCCTTTTCAGTCTGCCTCAAACAACCGAGGTCATCTTGAACTATCACGCCGAGTTCGAACTCGTGAGAAGCCCACTGTGGAACTTGTGCTCCTAGGAGGCCCTTGTGCATACTATTGCGTTGCATGCTGAGAAGTTTGCACTTGCTGACTTTGAAATACAGCATGTTCTTGATGGACCATGTGTACGGTTTGTCCAGGTCTTCCTGTAACAGTGTGATCCTCCACTATAGTACGCCATGCCTTTAAGTCGTCAGCAAATAGCAAACAGTTAGAAAATAGTACGCTTACGAGATCATTTATGAAAACTAGGAACATGCAGGGTTCAAGTACCGAACCTTGAGATACGCCGCGCTGAACTTCGATGGTTTCTGATGGGTTGCTTCGAACCCTTACATTCAGATGACGTTGCATGAGAAAGTCTCCTATCCAGCCCAAAACAGGATTGCTGATTCTATTTTATTAAAGTTTGTGGAGTATAATGCGATGATCTAGACGGTCGAATGCCTTTGAGAAATCCAGGTAGACAGCGTCGACTCCTACACTAGCGTCTACAGATTCCGTCCAGATTGTAGAAGCGACCAACAGATTAGTGGTACAGGACCGATTTTAGCGAAATCCGTACTGCTCCGGAAGGAGAATTTTGTTGTTCTCCAGGTACTCCATCAAAGCCTCAGCTACAATGGACTCCATAACCTTGGAGATCACATGAAGTAGTGCTATCGAGCGGTATTTTGGTGGTTCAGCTCCGCTGCCACTTTTGTAGATTGGTGTGATCATTCTGTGCTTTCACATCGTGGAGACGTGCATCTCGTTCAGACAACGTTAAAAAAATTGCTAATGGCACCGCCAATCTCATGCAGCAACTTCCAACGCTTTCGGGCGAATACCGTCCGAACAAGCTGACTCAGACTATCGCGATTATCCCAACCGTGGTGAAAACCGTTGTTCCCAGAAGTGAAACTGTGTCACACATTAAACCATTGCATTCATGCTGACCCGCCGCCGATGGAAGCATGACAATATACGCGACTATTGTCGCTGCGCGCAAAGGCAAATCTTAGCGAATGACCACGTCGGTAAACGCCTCTAAAAATAGCATGAACGCTGCTACTGCACAATGAAAGCCGATTATCACACAGGCAGTGAAAGTAAAGAAAAGAAAAGTAAAGTAAAGTAATTGTGAGCCCTAAAAGCAGTATAACTCGCAAAAGATAATAAGTTTAAAGTGTCTGAGTCAAAACCAAGGTCAATCATGGGCAAATTATCGAACGATCGGGAACAGTGGGAACATTTAAGTCAGGAAATGATAGCCCACCTAAACCGGCCAAGTTGGTTCGCATTGTCCGCCATGCTAACTCAGCTCTCTCTATGGGGAACCAAGATTACCTCAAATGGCAATTCAGTCTGCAGGTGGAGACAGTTCTTTTGTCAGCTCACCAGTTCCGTGATTCGATCTGGTCGGAACACAGGGTGAGAAATTTTGAGGTCCGCCAGTTGGTTTTTGGCAATAAACCCTCTGGTGCTTCACTTCATTGTCTTTTGAAGCTGAATCGCTAACGTTGGTTAGGTTATGTACCCCGTACACCAGTTAACAGCCTTCCTCGGCGGACATTATACGTCGTCGCTGCACCAAGTTTGGAGAAACGAGGTGTCCAATCGATGACGGTGCATTGGGGTATGAAAAAATTAATTGAGAGACATGGTCAGGCAGGTACGTGGATGGGGGGCCTCATACTAGTCCAAACCAATGGTTAGAGACTCTACCAGATGGGGCACGTTGTCGGAGTCAGTGCTGCCTCTGCAATCGTTCTACTGCGTTTAACTGTTCGCACTTCAATGCGATTAGCTTCATGTACCTCGTTCTTGCTTCCATTCTGCTAATAACATATTTAAGTCTAGCCGCATTTACTTATCATTGTTCTTTAGTGCCAATCTGACGACTCGAGTCGTGGCAATTGCATCCACGGCACTTTGGTGCCCGGATCATGGTTTTTCAACTGCACTGAACTGAACTGAAACAACTGGTTAATCTTTAAGTATCGTAGATTATTTAGGAAAGTGAAATTCCAGATAAAACTTGAGGTACTTAACAGGAAAGAAAAATACTCAAAGCGGGAAAATACTCTTCTACCAGGTCTTTAGTATTTCTATTGTGAAAGACCTAGTTGAAAGTGGTGACTTTTTCCTACAGTGGTTCTTTGGAAGCGTGTTTCTAGTCTACCGGCGTGCCCACCTTTGCTACAAATACGGACACATCGAAAACGTATTGCTCAGGTGTGTGACATTTGTGCATCACGTGTACTTTCGTCCGACAACACCATGTCTAATTTGTACCACAGTAAACGCTGTACGTAACCGCTACTTCAGTGCTACGGCTAAACATCGATCAGTGCAGAGCCCACAGGCCTCCACTTTTCCACGAAACATTTGATCCCAAACAGAGAGCAGGATGTATCGATCGTTCACATGTGTATAATCTGCGCCTCGTCGCGGCGAAACATGTAGCGCCGTGGAATTTGCTTTAGAGACGCCGCGATTGTGTGCATCGGTGCATGGTGTGAGATCCGATTGGATATCCGGAATGCCGTTAGAATTCCTCAGGGTTTTCTCAGGGCGGGCAACGTGCGGCAATTTACTATGCGTCGATTGAAATCGGCAGACATTATCCGGAAGGGTTATACACTACCTCCGACTGCCAGGCCCACCTGATTATATGTAGATAACAAGTAGCATAGTTATACGAAGTAATTTTAACGTACATATTTGCTTGCTTGTGTGCGGTCATTTAGTGCGGATTTTCTGTATCGAACACGACTAGTCACCCTAGGCCGCAGCATGCCATTGATCTGCGCCGCACGACAAGATAGCGCAGGTGGATCGGAGATCAAAAGCCGTCTATCTTCCTATACTCCTCTGATGTGCTACTGGCTAATTTGGACTGGTCGCTTAATTAATATTACGAAGTTGGGTGCTTTTGCGTTCGTTGGATGCGATTTGTCAGCGGTAATATCCATGTTGAGAGCATTATGGTGTGCAATTGATGTACGACATAACTTCTATTAGGAGACATTTGATTCTGTTATGAATGCAAATTAATGTGACGATGTATGATTCACATCTTTAGATTTGATACACACGAGCGGGTCTATATTAGAAGCAATAGGTCGTTTTGGGTTAAATTCCACTCAATTAGAATAGATCTACCGAAACGGATAGCTCAGAAACGAAATCCCATGTTAGAAACATCATTTGGAAAATTGTTCACATAAAATCACAACCCGATAGGCGGCTGCATCTTACGAAGAAAGGCAGCAGTCCGTTTTCCAAATCCTGCTCTATGGCTCGCTGTAGGTCGTCTCCTCGCATTTCATAGGTACAGTCGGTCACAATTGGCCTCAATCGAAGCATGCTTATCAAGCCTGCTCGTTCCACGGAACAATGAGCCTAAAGTGGAAAGGAGATTCGGAGAAATCTTGACAGTTCATTTGACAGACAACAATTATTGTTGACCAACTGCAGTACCCAAATAGAACAGAATAAAAACTTCCTATTTTACTTTGTGAAAATAAGTACACGAACGGACTATAAAACGGCTTTATAAAACTGATAATGGAAACGAAATATACGTTTGTTTTCCTTTTTTGTCTAATACACTATCTGCTATCGTTTCTCAGTAGTTGTTGTTACTGGTACTGAGGACACGACACCAGATGCTTGCATCTACCAAATGTCGTCCTTTTGCTCTACTTTTCAAATATAATTGTATTGTCAAATTTCCTGTTTGCTATGGTTATGGCTAGCGTCAACTTAAATCAATGGGTTAGGTTTGCGACAAACCGACTAGTATCGTTTGCTCAAACATGTCCAGAGTTGGCAGGATGGCCATCGTAAAAAACACAAGCTTCCAAAGCATCAGGACCATTTTGGAAATTACCAAGTTCAAACCGTTGTGGAGTTGGACTAAGTTCAATTGCTATAGTCTCAAACAGGATTATTTTTAGACTGCAGATAGAAACGTGCTCATAAATGAAGTAATGGATCAGCAGTTTATTACTGGCAAGAAAGCGGATGGGCTAAATACACTGTTGGCTATTCAGGTAGCCTCAGAGTAAATTGGTGATGATCTTGGTTTCTGAAATTAATTGAGTTAAACCAGTACCCTATCGAGTAGCCGTTCCATAATGACGAGTGTTCCAGTCCAACTAACTGCTTCCAAATTAACGATTCCTAAAAGGCAACTGGCATGGTTGCGGACTAGTAATGTCCTTCCAAGTATAGAGAGTAGCTTCCAAGACATGCGAGTTGACCGATTCTCAGTAGATGGTAGCTTGTATGATTGGGGCTTTTCCGGAGCTTTACTGCTGACATAAACTATAACGGGCGCATCTACACATTTGGTAGAAAAAGCGGATTACCGTAAGCCCCTTGAGTTACAGAAACCGACCCAGTTTGGCACACTCGGTTATACTCCACTGAGGAATATAATGAGGGGGAAGGTCGTGCTTTCCATAAGCTGTAAAACCTTGGGAGCACAAGTATGTACTCAGCACCTGAGTAGACCGTGTCAAGGAACAGTTTTCGTTTGTGCTTCTCTTCATATCTCAAACGGCCACTGTGATCCTCTAGAAAGGCTATCGGATAAACTTTCTGAGAGGAGCGCTGCGAGACCTTCTTAACCAGCCTGCACTAATGAGTGTTCTGATGTGTGCTCCGTATGCTTGCTTCATCAGGCTTACCTTGTGGTGTCGTGTGACATTTTGTTCTATATATAGCGTGTCATAGCAGCAAATCACCAACCCAGAAAGTAATTAGATGATTATTTTCATAAGTTCACGCAAGCAAACCTGACAGGCGCGACGCCAGCACTGAGCACTGTGGCACATTGTTCTAAATCAGTGGTTCCCAAAACTTTTGAGGTCGCTACCTCAAAACAGGGTTCACTATAAGCAGTTACACCCAAACTTTCAACAACCAATCACCTAATATCTATTGAACTTTTGCTTTGAAGTACCATATGCAATTACTTTCGATCATGTAAATAAAGAATAATCCCATTTCTAAGCAGTATTTCATTAAATCAAATGGTGATGAATAAGCAGTTTCTGGCATATCTGTTGCAGTTTCGGCTAACGCAAATCGCAAGACTTGTAGTGGTGCTCAGTGCTTCTGTTAAAAAGCACCCTACTTTGAAGCAGTCACTTTTAATGCAAGGAATAAGACGGTAACGTCAGTCCGCTCAACTGCGTGTAGGGAAGAGAAGACATAACTTTATTCCATTAAATACCGCGTCCAAATATTTTTGCTCAGGTCCTGCATGCGAGGCTGATGGTGCTGTTAGAAAGCGATATCACACTTAACTTTGCCTCTTGTTGCTGTACACCAGTGGTTCTTAACCAGTTCGAGGCTGCTTTCTATAAACAAAACCCAAATTTCCGTTTAAAACGCTAAGTAACGAATAACTATCACGCTTCCTGTTTCCAATAACAAAAACTGATAGACATTTAGCATTAATCTCGATCAACAAAGAAAGAAAACAATTAATTTGATTCAAGATTGTATGCAGCCAACAGGCAATATATATCAAGGAGACGGTTGATATTGCTTGGCGCCTACAAATTCCGTTATCTTTGGTGCAGTTCCGGCTAATACGCAACTTTAGTCGTGTTCCAACCTCATTCGAAGTCTTGTTTTTATCCTCGTTATTACTATAGTCAAAAATCCACTTGCACATCTGTAAGTTGCTGCGAATTGCTTTGCCAACGCAGTCAAAAGATATAGGTTGCGAAATGTTAATATTTCGATTGCTTTTGTCAGTCGCTACACAATACATGCAGAACAACATACGTATTAAATACGATCCTCACTGAGTAACATAGTTAAACAGCTAAAATTGAGGTGAATGACGCAATCAGGTCCAAGGTAATCTAATTGATTGCTGTAGTTGTTTCTGTGCCCAGAGCGCAGGACAATACAACCTTATCACTAACTGCTCGCCAATTGTCAACAACGTCGAGTTTCAGTTGTGTAAAAGCATCTTGAATGAATTGAATGGGTTCATCAGGTTACGAGTCGTCATTCGGTGTTTAGCGATAGACGAGGCAGGGTTCCGGTTCATTCTTTGGTCCACTCCGTCTTGGTGAGACAGCAACTGCCTTAGCCACAGTGGGAAGTGTTCCGCCAACATTTGAGCCAGCCGACGACAAGTCTTGCCAGTGTAAGAGTCACCGCAACGGCAAGAGAATTGATAGACGATGTTAGAGGCCGAACTGATTGGTGAACTCCTCGGACGGCTATGGAGTGGAATCTTTCGTGTAGTATGGATAAGTCGTAGTTTGGCGGTGGAGTAGTTGTGTGTTAGAGCGGACCTGCGCTTGTGACCAACATCAACAGGGTATGCAACTCATTCTGGATCGTTCAGCGGTTGAATCATCTAAGTATGACATGAGCTTCGCCCCATCGAAGAGTAAAGTACTGCTCAAGGATTGGCTTTCACCTGCTCCCGTGCTCACTCTCGAAGGTTCACAACTTGAACAGGTAGATAGTTTCGTCTACCTTGGGAGCTGTGTTTCTGCTGACGACACTATCAACAAAGAAGTTTCTCTTCGTATCGCGACGTCTCATTCTCTCTGAATGGCCGCCTTTACAGCGCATCTGTTCGCTTAGTATTGTTGTACGGGTGCGAGTCCTGGCAGATTCGCATGGAAGACATGCGCCGTCTTTCTACCTTCGAAAACGGTTGCTTAAGAGAACCGCTCGTCTTTGGTCTCAACATCGAGTTAATAATAATGACGTTCGACTTCGCGTCTTGGGAATGCGAGTATTCCCTTCAACAAAATGGTTTTGTTGCGCCAGTTGAGATGGCTCTGTCACGTCCTACGCACGGCACCTGAGCGTCTACCGCGTCGCGCTCTATTCGCTCCTCAAGGACCTGGCTGGATACAACCGCGAGTTGGTCAGCCTTCCATTTGGCGGCAGCACATGAAATCGCTAACGTCCTGTCTAGCCGCTGTTGGGTCCGTACGTCTTCCAGGATGGGGACCTAAAGATGAGAGTGCCAATGGCTTACCACACTTGAAGACATGCCCGCAACCGGAATCAGCAGAAGAACTGTGTACAGTATTGTATTGATTCACATATTTAATACTGCAAACATCAAAAATGACAAAAAAGTGAAAAAACGGCGTGTGAAAAATAAACTAAAAATGTTTTGTTCGACCTTTTGTCAACATGTTTCATTCTTCCTGCGGCATATTAGCTGAAATGTGTTGCTCACCTTCAACTAGCGTACCACGGCAATTATTACGCAATGACTCTTGCTTATCCGCCGACCTCCATGGTTTTGTGTTGGCTTTGTTTAGTTGCCAGACTCCTGAGATTACTACTACTACTACTGCTACTACTACTACTACTACTACTACTACTACTACTACTGCCACTATTAACCGCTATCCACCCTGCTCGATGCAGCAGATAGGGCACCGTTGATTTCCTCTGCGGTAGCCAGGGCATCAAGAGAAGGTTTGAAGAGAATTTCAATGTATTGCGTGGGCTGGATACTGTCATCTTGCTCAGGCCTAGACAGGAGAGTGATTAGTGTTCTCAAGGAAAGCCTTTGGTTCAAAAACCTGACCGCATGGCAGCGGGTTTGGCTTTGGGATACAAGGAGTCCGTTTAAACGAATAAGGTGAAACGCCATTCCGAACCTTAACCTGGAGGATCTGGGTGCTTAGATTGTCTGACTTCCAACCATTGAACAGTCTGAGATGAGTGGCTCTGAAGGTACAATAAAAGACCACCCAGCATAGCTCAATGGATCGCTGAGGGACACAAACCATCGCACCACGGTAAGGTCTGGCCTCGTTGCAATCGGTCCTATCTCATTGTACACTATATATATATATATGTACATATATATCTATATATATTCCTTGTAGCGGCTGCATGCTTGACAAGCCTGCTGCAACGCCCCTCTCTGTCTAAGATAAACCTGTTCCGGATGTTTCCGAGATAGGGTCCATCCCTCACTCATAGATATACCAGACGTCTTCAAACCTTTTGGACCTCAGAATCTATCCCTTTTGGTTGTAGTCCCGTAAAAGTGTCAGTTTCTCTTAAAAGATATGACCCATCTGAATGCTCCAAACATCAGGAGTTTGACCTAATTTTTGCTGCTTCCATGATCCTTATCACCTTGCTGTTGCTGACACCCATTTGAGCAACGAACATCACATATGTATGGAGCAGACTCTGTTCCTTCTAGATGGAAGTTGAATTTATCAAACGTTTGAGTAAGTTCACTATTTCGTTCCAGCAGCTCACAGGATTGAGTTTTGTTTCCGACCGTCAACTATTGTCATGCGGTCTGCTCAGAGTTAGTTCTTCGAGTTAATTGTCAAGAATGAGAACAACGAGGAAGTATGTTAAAATTCTCTAAACCGTTAGTCTCAGCCTTCAGTCTTGGATAGGTGCATAGTGGTCGTCCGGTCCCTCCACTATCCTAAGTAGAGCAAAACTGTAGTGTCGGAAACATCATTCTCATATAAATCAGCCATAGATGACATCTCGTAGGCTGCTGCGAAAATCCATCAACTTAATGAAGTTCATCTGCTTTCAGGGGACGGCATTACAAATTAGAAAAAACAGACGACTGCTGTAATTTGCTGTTCCTTCCGGAAGGTACAAATTAAGTTGCGTAGATTGTAGTTCATTGCCTCACAGGCAGAAACGTCTTGCAGTCCTCTGAATTACACTCTTCCAGCTAGACGAGACCGAAGCTACTCCGAGTGTCGCTATTCTTAACTTTTGCTTAGTTCCTTACATCTTGTGACCAAACTGACCTCGGTTTCTCCTTGAGAGGTTGATCATGCAGTTCCACAATTTGGTTATCTCCATTCTGTGGCTCAGACACTTGGACTCCTCGTGCAAAAGCAAATTATAAACTCTAATCGATTGCCGCTGCACCGGGGCACTTCGGCGTGCATCCTTCCAGCTCACTTTAGGTGAGTGTACGAATCGACCCAGTCCCCGTGTGTGGCGGTCGTGTCTCATGTTATACAAGCTGGGAATGAAAGTGGAATGAAACCCAACAAAGTCCGGTTGAGTTCACCATTCCTTCTTTGATGGACACAAGGCGGACGGCTTCAATCGTGATTCCGGTGGTAATTTACTAGGGAGCGTATGCTGCATTCCTTGCTCATATGTTTTACATGTGCTTAAATTGCAAAATATGATGGTGACGGCAGTTTTAACATACACTTCGTGATCACATCAAAAAGTATTGAACTGAATCAAGATGGCGTCGCCTCTCACTACCGTCATTTGAAACCCCCTGTTCCGCATAATTCTAAGTCTCCTGAACTCCACTGGCTTCCGTTACAGGTGATCGTTCCGAATGATGTAAGAAAAAACAGCAGTCCATATGATACATTCCAGGGAGGGCTTGTGAGAAGGGGAAGGCTTCCATTTCCTCCCCTGGCCGCAGCATTACTCAAGGATAACATAGTGGGCCGCAGTTCACGGAGTTTGGATGAGAGATACCTTGAGCAAATTGGTTCCGTTTAGGTGTCTAGTAGTTACCTCTTGGGACTCAACTGTTATGGCGGGTAGATTTAAGTGATTTCTCGATGTTCTATTATGTTCTTGCACAGTGGGAAAAGCCGCCACTATCACATTTGATGTTGATACGAATTTCAGTTTTGAGAAGGATTGTGATTTGTTCACTCGGTGCAATAACTGGTCGTATTTTTGGCACTTCATCGGTTAACGCTATTACTCATACTCCTTTCAGGGCGGAGGTGGGCTAAGGCATGAACGTCTGGGAGTTTGTAAACACTTACCATTGACGCACACTGCTGCTTTCATCGGTGCTATACAAACCACGGTGGAAACAAGGAGCACAAGTTGAAGACAGAATAACTTCTGGACAACGATTAGATTTGAATAACACAAAAAGATGACGAACGTTGGTAGATGCGAGCATTACGTATCATCTCATCAATACCATTATGATAAAAGGAAATAATCAAAATAATACTCAAAAGATGTCACCAGACTAAGCAAAATATTTAATCAGAGGGTGTCATCTGACCAGTCACGTGAATCGGTGTAAACGGAGGCTATAGCCCTAAGATTACGGCAGCGGAAGATTTACAACCATTTGTTTTTGCACACATCGGGCCGGTCTCATTCTATTTATCGCCGTGACCCCGACGCATCGCAAGAACCGCGAACTAGGATGACGCAGTAGAATCTGGAACGAGGAGACAGGGTTAACCCGATGACGGAACTCCCAAATGTGCTTGTCTATTGATGACGGCGGTGGGTTACGTGAGCTCGGAGCACTAGAGGCGGGTTGATTGGCCTCCCGTTGCACCCATTTGAACAGATGTTCCTTTACTCCGGAAGTCAAAACCCTCGCGGTTCTGCCTATGTAACGGACTCCTCAGTCACATACGAATTGATAAACGCAATGGGATTTGACGCCGATGTGTTCCGGTTCCTTGATTGAAGGTAACAACAGCTTCTTGGTTCGGCTAATTACAACCGCGTCAGCGGCGTAGTAGATTATCTGAATGGCAAAGGATAAACGCTTGGTTGTCCCCATTGTGGTGGCGTTGCCCTTGAATGGAAGTTCAATGTAAACCATTTCCTTTGGTGCCGTCAACACCATTGCTTTCGGCTGCATGACCAGGCTGTTTCTTGATGAAACGTTTAGGGTAACCATTCCTGTAATCTCCATCTCCTCAGCCAGACAGTCACTTGAACAAATTCGCCTGTGAGGGGAAAACAGAGTCTTCACCAGCGCACGTCTGTATGTATGTATGTAATCTCAACAGCCTAACAACCAGACATAGAGCCAAAAAAAGCCATGGAGATTAGCAGATAAGAAGAAGTCAATGCGTCATAATCATCGTGGCATGGTAGTTGAAGGTGAGCAACACACATCAGCTAATATACCGCAGGAAGAATGGAACATTTTAACAAAAAGTATGACAAAACCCTTTTAGTTTGTTCTTCACACGCCGATTTTTTCTCTTCTTTGTCATTTAAACAACGTCTGCAACCCGTTTGTATGAAGATTGTAAAGTCTAGATAGTGCCCAGAGCATGTCGGCTTTCTGTAAACAGACCGCCCAACAAGCCTGGCCTCCCTTCGGCTGATAAGAATGTCCAGAAACGGAACGCGATTATTTGACTCTAATTCATGAGTAACTTGTAAATTGATATGGACGCTGTTCAGCTGTCTGGCCAGGCATTCTATCTGTGTTCTTGTGGAACCGAAGAAGAGTAGGTTATCAACATACCGCTTGTAGAAAGGCACTTATGCAATCTCTTCGCTCGGGATTGAGAGAAATACTTTAAACAAGGTCATTCTCCCCACTTCTATTGAGCAAACTCCCACCCACACTCGTTAGTTTCATTGGACTATGAAACCAAATTTTTCTAGTAAACAGTAAAAATATGATTTTATCAGCGCTCGCTAATAGTGGATATTTACCAGGGAACGGAAAACACGGTGATCTGACGTCGTTGTTGTTCGCATGAGTTTTCCCCACGTTCTAATAGGTGAGTGAGTAAACAGGCCACCTTGGTTAAGGAGACGATTGGCCTAATAGAAAGTTGCACTTATTATCCGATACAACTTGCCATGAAAGTCAGGCAAAACACTAGTGCTTATATCTACCTGATCGGAGTAATATCCAACAAGTTTCGAAGCGGCTTCGTATACACTGGCCCCTGGATGCTCAGTTTGATACTTGTGAATACTTCGGTTTCTGGCCGAAAACAATGCAAGCAGTGTTGCGTCACTGCAGGTGGCCTGTATCAAAGGAGAAAAAAACAGAGACTGAAGTGGCACAAAATTGATCTAAACCAGAAACTTTTGTTGTGGTCGATATTGCTCCGCTATTTCATACCCAAGATAAGAGTTTAATTGTTTGCTTACATTTTTAAAGGAAACGGGCGTGAATGACTCGTCTGAGGGGTAAATTCGCCGTAGTGTTCTAAAGCCTTAGTCTCGCTAGATGAACTGCCTATTTTCCTTGTTTTCGTGACTGGGCGAATTTTAATTCCCAATTGTAACGTTGTGGAAACACCAGAGCGTTGTACGTGCCTCCTAGGTCATGCCATGTCATAACTAAAAATGGCCAAATATTTGCTATTATCATGCGTCCAACAGAGTTGTACGTATGTCACATACTTTATGGGTAATCAAAACGCACTTAAATGCACCTCGCTGAGCAAGAAATTCTATAATCTTCCGCTCAGGAGTTAAGCGTATTCAATTATAAAAGCTGATTTACGGTGCCAAGCGCAAGGCTATCGTACTGTACATCCGAGCGCATGAGGGCATTGTCGTATGCATCATTAAATTCAGGATGAAAGGTTTACTGCTGCATGCGGAGCAGGTGGGACTTTAACCATGCCATACTATCTTCTCAGTCCGCTTGGTTAAAATGCAGCTACGAGGTTCCATCAGTTTCTGTGTATACTATAAGTTCCATGAGTTCTGTTACACCAATAAATAACATTTGCATTTTTCGGGCTCATAATTCCTACTGATGCATATACTAGAGAATAATTTGTTTACAATGCTCTCAATTGATAGCGTCTGGTACCCCACATGCTATGCGGAATCGTTTGCTTGATGGTTGTCAACGTACTAATTCGGGTTTCGACGGAATTATAATAAAACAGGACCTGTAGCGCAAGTCTTCAATTCTTCGTTCCTTAAAACCTACTCTAACCCGCAACATTCAGTTTGCTTACTAATGGACGCTGGACCGACCTTGTCTCTAAGCATCAGATTGGCATAAATCCAATGCATTCAGGCAACTCGTTCGTGCCTCAATATTTTTATTTATCAACGGTTGTCGGAGTGGTTGATTTAGGCACGGGGTAGTCGAGAGAAAACACACATCCAATCCCCTGCTAAGTGCTGATCACATTTCCCCGAATTTACATTTGTTAGCCTTAATGCACAGCGGGCTAAAGCCTTGCTTGCTTACGTTTGCACGAGTAAACAGTTCACATTCAAATGTGTACTGCACGCTCTGGTCACCTGAAGCAGAATGCTCCTGATTATTATACCAATATTATCAAAACCTCACACACAAAATGATAATCGAGGGATTCAATACCTTCTACCTCCCTTAATTTTCCAACTTCAATGTTGGTGCTCTATTCATACGCACACAGCTGCCTGCTACCATGTAGCAACGCCGGGATGGATTTTATCGAGAAGTGCTTTTAGCGAGTAGTAATAGTAGTTGTTTCTCATCAAAGGACGCGACTTCATTTCAGTGGTAGCCAAAACGTCTTCGGTACATACCTACACCAATATGATCGCTTAGATCGTTAGTTCAAAGTGGCGTCTGAAGCAGCTAAATCTCAACCAAAATCCGTCGCAACTCCATTAACTTCCCCAGCTTAGGTCGGAGACCCAGTTATGTCTCCGACTACTGTAACCGCGGCCACTAGATAGGGATAAGCGGAACACGGGGACGGGAGGGTGCCTCAAGGTGTTCTGACTTAAATAGCAACTGAAAAGAGACTTATACGCAAAATCACTGAATAACACGAGTCAGCCGTAACACAGACGATTTAACCGTCCATTTGACGGTACATGTTACCAGCGAAACCGCTGCTTGCAAAGTAGCGGCAGGGAATGAAAACTTTTCTCCCCAAAGGTAGAAATTGGTTAGTTAAGATTACAGTTACTTAAGATTGTCGACCGATGTCTGTTTCAAACTTGTCAGTAAAACTTGCAGCATATACTTTACTACGATTACATTGTTCCATAAAGTGCATTTACTACGGCCGCATTTAAAACATTCCGTTGCGTTAGACAACTTGAGAAACCAAACATGTAAGCGGGCACTTTTTCGTGAATATCGGCTGTTTTTCGAACTTGAAGTAAAAAAACTCCCGGTCGTTCAAACTAGAAAACGAAGTATTTTACCTTTTAACTTGTTAAAGTTGGATGATCCATCGACGTTGTATTGGCTATTGACAGCCTCTTGGGTTGCCCAATGAATATTGTCCCGCTTTGCACCATTTATCAGTTATAGGCTCCCCGTCTGGAAGCAGACAGCTTCAGGAATTCCTGTGATCACAGTACACCGAAAGGTTGGCTCATGTCGATGAAAGGAGGGTACTATCTGGCGCCGCTGACGACGGTTAGCTTCGTACCTGAAGCGGTAGGTCATCGTTTACATGGTGACCCCAGGCAAAAACTCGTCTAGGTCCGCAAACGGAAACTAGAGTAGCCTGACATTCAGCAATACTGGGTCTCTTGTTTAACTTGTTCCTCCTGCATGATTACTGAAGTAAGCACTGGTTTACACTTGTCTGAAAGGATTTTCAGACAGCAATCATTACTCCTTTAAAATGCCATGCAATTCTACGGTTACTGATATCATAAAGGTTTTTCTAAATGTGGCATGCAGCCTATGAAGTCATAGAGACTCTGAACTGCATACAGATAGTGGTTATTCGCAACAACAGCTACGAACCCCCATGTTCCCACCGCTCGCTTTCGTTGAGTTATCCTTTTGCTCGATACCGTACCTTCAGTTACGTTAGACCGAGCTGCTGCTGCTGCTGCTGCTGCTGCTGCTGCTGCTGCTGCTGCTGCTGCTGCTGCTGCTGCTGCTGCTGCTGCTGCTGCTGCTGCTGCTGCTGCTGCTGCTGCTGCTGCTGCTGCTGCTCATTCAAGCTATGCAAGTTGCTTCAAATAGTTATGGTGTTCATGAGCACGCTGGATTCACGTTCTTTTCAGTTACCTGTAGTAATATCGAAAAAAGCACGACCATGTGCCTACTTCACCGCTGCTGCTTTTTTGTTCGCTCTGTCTTAATACAACGGTCTCGCCCACAACATGGAGAATAAATACCGGATCGTCTCTCCTACCCATACATGTATCTTCAGATGTTTATTCTATTCAAAGCTAGGCTAAGCTTATTCTGCATTATACTTGTCCATTGTGCGAAGTCACCTAGCAGCTGTAGTTTCGGAATAAATCCCATAAAAGTTGCCACGGATGCATTTGTCAGATATCGCAATCGCAATACTCACTCATCTTTCATATTTAACAAAATGTTTTGAGGCGTGACTTATCAGATAATTTTTCCGATGAACCGTAGCTTATCACTCACCTGGATGAATCCGCCACTATTCTTACCGGATATAAATTGTTCTGGTAATTGTAGCAGTTTCGCCAACCAATCCATCATGACCACTTCCAATTCGGTACAGGCCGGGCTGGATGCCTGTGGGTGCAAGCGACGCAAATAATCCACGGTAGAATAAACCATGCTTTTTCAAACCTGCATTTAAATGCAACCATTCAAGCTTAAGTACATTTTTAATCTATCGGTCAGGAAAGATGTTCGAAACCATTGGGTAACTGAAGCTTCACCATTTAAACAAGAAGCGTTTCCATAAGTGTAATCATGAACAGAGTATTATTGCCCACAACATGTTGCCTGCGAGCCGACCAATCATTTGAGCAAGTGACACTATCTCCTGGCCAGCTTGCACTGCATTGCTGCGACGGGACTAAGTAGTTAATGTGCATTACGCTGGATTTCGAAGGGCATTCTTAAAGCCGAAAGACACAACCATATTTGAGGCACGAGCGGACCAAGTACCGTGGCGATCACACCCGAACTCGTGATAAATTCAGCTTGGAATACTTCCGGAAATTTGACATATCTACTAATCAAGAGGCCCACTGCGCTGCTCTCGGCTACACGTTTTGTGCACGTATACCTTCGAGTGAAAGTTCAACAGTGCTAGAAACTGTCTTCATTAAACGAAGTCGCATTCAAGTTAGGTAGCCAGTTTACCTCATTAGTACATACATCATGTATATAGCCTTGGGATCAATGAACTTGTGTTACCTTCCAGCGGTGATTATTATTATTCGTTCAATGCTACGTGGTTAATGGTCTAATGGACTGGATGACATATTCTGGACCTATCGAAAGTCAGTCGCAAGTGAAGAATCAATTGATAATACACAGAAAAAATTAGCCTGATCACGAAACATTCTATCCATACCTGCTTGATTACTTACTGGTTTATCGTACTTTGACCAAGCAAATGTCTACAGTAGGAAATTGAGGCTACTAAGTACTGCAGCTATCCGCAGCTCATCAAAAGATATCTGAGCATGCAGTTACCAAGTGTTTTAAAGTCCATAACCAATTATCCCTTGTCTCTCTGACCGTTTGAATACGTACTACTTGTCCCTAAGCATCTCCTTGTTTGTCCTCCCCATCTTGTAGCCCTGGGTTCAATGCACTTTGTGTCCACTTTCATGGCATTGTGACACATATCGTCTTGAATGAACGCATTTTACCTGTCCCTATTACTACCCAGTGTTCGGATAGTGGTTCTGGTAGCGTTATAGATTTTTGGCCATTTTGGTCCGAGTACCCCTTCCACATAAGTTAAATTCAGGTCAAAATTCGTGTCCTACTATAGGCTATTTAGGGGCTCAATTGGGAAACCCTTGGCAACTGGGTTATCTCTAGTTTCAGAAGATGCGACATGAAAAACTGAGCAGTAACGGTTGGTCTATAATCCAAATGTTTATTCCGTCATGATGAAAGTCAGTACCCACTTTGTCCTATGGTTTTATGCTTCCAACTGTGAGATAAGGGTTAATGCCCGGGATTACTCTACGGAAAGTGGAAATACCCCATATGGGGAAATCCGAAGTCAAAACGACCAAACAGAGAGTCTCCGGATGGTGTTGACTGCGTGGTTAGTCCCAGTTGGGCTACCTATTCACAAGTAACTCAGACGCATGTCCACATCAGACAATATCCCTACTGGCTCATGCAGTGTTTGTGTGAATTTAGTTTCAAACTATGACACGTATTGACTGAACAGTATATTCAAAAGCGGACTACCAACAATGAAAACAAATCATTCTCATCAGCCCAACTTGTTAACCGTCTTGCGCCCTGCTTATTTGCCATTCCTAACTCTCGTATTGTCCCACTGACATCTATTGTCATATGTATATGTGCGGTAACGCACACTTCCAATCGTAGTGAGTTTGATCACGCTGTGATATATACGGTAGCTACTGACTCTTAGGTCAGCTGCTCATGGCCGCAGAATATTTCCACTAACTATTAAGTGATCTTACAACGAACAAAGCGATTACATAAAAACCACTTTCATACGCATATCGTTAAGCATTTCGTTGAGAATCATAATATCCATAGGCACTTCCAGCTTCACTATGTTGCTCATCCAGAATGCGGCGCGTGACGCTGGCATCCTCGGCTCGAAAACGATGAGAAATTACTAGAAAGAAGTAGGACGGCACCACTTTACCCGAGTCATGAGCTTAAAAAGAGTTATTCTATTTCCTAACGTTATCGAGAGGCTGCCATGTAGTAATGTAATCTGTTGTCGTGCCGGTGTACCTGTCTTCTAAATTACCATGACCCAATTGTTGAGTATGATGTCTTAAATCGGGTGAGTCCACGTGAGTTACACAGTTAGCAAGGTGCAGTGCCCTTAAAAGCTCCTTTTATCTGATTATGCACACTAATACTCCGGAAACACCAGGTCAGAATAGATGAATATACATTCCATTTAGTCAACAGCGTCCGTTAGTTTAGTGGCTGGCCGTTTAGCGCCTTGTGTATGGTGTGCTCGGAAGGTAACGGACCCTATTACCGCAAGACATTGCGTGTAAAAAGGGGAATGAAACAGGAACAAACACACTGTCACAGGAAGAGGAGTTGTACTTCGAGAAGATATGCTTGGGCATAAATGTTGCACGCTGTGTAACAAGGCGCTGAAGGGTAGTTAAAGTTAGGAATAAACCTAAACACCACGATTTGATTCGAGCAGTTTGTACTGCGAAACACAATTAAGCATGGGTACGTAATATTGCGAAGGTGTTTTGCACCAAATAATCCATGTTCATGAGACGTCAGTTCGGTTGGCCCAAGCAGGCAAGCAACAAGCTGAGTTCAGTCCTCCAAAAGCGCGGGCGAGGCATGACCCGCGAACGTTGGCACAAACTGTATGGCAACAGAGACAATGCTGGCTTGGAGTTGTTTGCATCAGTTGATATTAGCTTCGTTGCGCCCACCACAATTTTCACCAATTCTAACCATTGACATGGCAAGAGATGTCTAGTCATCTGCGCCAGTAGTCCGTTGGAACGAACAAAAACCTATTGATGGAACGTCCATTGCGCTCGTACTCGGATGTTCACTCAAATTGGATGCAATCATCTGCTTCTTATGATCTACACACGCCGCTGACGTGGAATTTTGTCACCGTCCACAGTGCCATCTCGCTTATCAAACTTTAGACAAGGGTGAGCAAACGTCTTGCGCTGTTATTACGTGCTTGCGATGGCTTACAGCAGGCTTGTTAACGCCAATCTACATATGGCACGTCATCATTGCGTCTCCATTTTACTTACCTTTTAGTTTATGTTTCGAGTCCCGTTAACCTGATCAACTTTTTAATGCATACCGCAGGGACCATACAAAAAGGCATCTCAGTTATAATGCCTAGGTTCTATAGCGTTCACATATCGCTATGACAAACTACAAACCGCACATTGCTTACCCAACTGAAGCCAATGCAACCAATTCCGTTGGTCAAAATGTCGGCACACATGGATGGATAAGAGGTCCCAGCCGGGAAATACGCATGAAATCGTGGGTGGTGCCAGTGTGTAATCTAAAAACAGCAGAACGCAAAAAGCAATAATTGTGGAAGCGTCTTCAGCTGATATATTACCAGCAACTCCGCTTAATAGTACGAATGACTCAAACATTAACAGCGCCGAATGCTCGAGAACTTACCGATTTATATTAGGTTGTTAATAACGTTCCTACGGTTTGTGATATTTCAATTTTAACGGCACTGCTTTTGAATAAATGTTGGATGGGCTGCCTTGGTGCTGTATCACATTTGGAAGCGCCTTTTTTCGTTCTATTTATCATTGGTTATGGTTTAGACAAAATACACTTGTTTACACGTTTACAGAACACTTGAAGAGGCATGGGCAGAAGACAAATTTGCACACAAGTTTTGTCGCAATTTAAACTTGGTCGAAATGGAGCGAAAAATGCAGTGCATTTGGTCCTGCAACCAATAATGACAGAATTGCACAATGTTAGTTTCAAAAATTTCGAAAGTTAAAAAGGGGTCTGAAGATGCAGAGCATGGTGGGCAGCCATCAAAACTGAGCAATAACTAATTAAGAGCCTTAGATGAAGCGGATCTGCATAAAGCTGGTTATGACCTTGCTTCTGCCTTGACAGTTACGCAATGAGAGTTTTCAAACAATTATGGTTGTACTAAATTTTCGCCCTTGACCTTCTGTGGATTATTTTTTACCATCCTGTTACACAGGAATGAGCGTACAAGCGTTTGACTCTATACGGTCGTGTGATAGCTGGAGAACTGCAACAGGAACACCTCAGCAGCGGGGCTTCTGTCATATGCGAAGGTGCACAGCAACTTTGCTAATCGCACGCGGTGGTTGGACCTTGTCGGGTGACGCTGGAGAATAAGATGACGTGATCTCCTTAGATTTTTCAAAGACATTAATCGCCTGGATCAGTGTTTCTCAAAGTGTGGTCCGCGATTTCACTGGCGGTCACAGCACAGATTTCGTGCTACGTTTTTCACCTCCTCTATGTGTACACTAAAAGGAGACACGAATTTTACCAGCATCTCATTTGCCGTCACTTCTTGTGGATTAACCTTGGATTTACAGTAGACACTACGTATGATTCAGTGTGTTTACTGGTGTAAACCCGATTTTGCTAACAATTATTTATATTTGGTAGTTGCACCAAAACGAGACCTGTTAAGCATTAGCTTTTTTTCCCCTATAAAACCACTGTTCCATTGGAGCTGAATCAGATTTGAGACTGCAGCTTACTTCAATAACACCAAGCATCAGAGACATCAGCGCTGCAAGTCATAAACAATGTCCGCTGACAAGTTAGGATTAATGCATGCAATATATTTTTATCTTCATTAAATATCTTTTATTTTTCAGTAACAATGACGAACAACCGTGCTAATGCGACGTACAGTAATGGACGTTTGTGGGCCACGTTGCCTAAGTTTCATTTCATTAGAACCTAGTCTTCTGATTAACATATTTTAGGGGATTCGCCGAGCGAGGATCCAGTAAAAAGAGACCCACTGCACAAAATTTTTGAGAACCGCTTGTCTGGATTATTGGGTACACTTTCCAGGCTTCAGAACTACGGGATTGGTGTGCCTGTCTTAAGCCCTATCGGCAAATTTCTTCTTCAACGTCATCTAGTGTCCAGCTTTAGCGTCTCCTTGTCTGACCTCAAGCAAATTGTTTGTAGTGTGCCGCAAGGTTCATTTCTAGGTCCACGATTGTTTCGGGTATTTATTAATGACCAGCACAAGTAGCCACTTCAAAATCTTACTGTTACGAGACGACATCAAGATATGGAGCAGGGTTAAGGCGGATACCGATTATAATTTGCTCCAGTGTAACCTACGTATGGTGCATCATTAGTTAATCCACAATCTGTTGTAGCTCAACGTGAGCAAATGCAGCTTCCTTTCTATACGACGCCAGAGTGTCTACTCCTACAGGCTAGGAAGGCATGTACTGCAACGATTTTCCGTTGTAAACCACGTTAAGGTGCTGGTTCAGGATGGCTTGGGTTGTTCCTTCCACCTGGAAAAGCATAGCTCATTGGTAAGCAACGCGCCGGTCTGTTACAACAGGTGTTCCGACAAATAGACGTCGGCGTTTTTCGACAGCTAGTCAGTACATATGTTTGCACCCAAGTCAAACACTAACACAACCCTTGTATCCATGGCTGAAACACGACCTCAACACACTGGGATAGTCTCAAAGTCGGGCTTCCAAGTCAAGGAAATGCTTGGTCACCCATACGAGCAGTGACTGAATTGTTTGGGGTATTTGTTGGACATTATCGCCAAAAGGAGGCAAAATTTTAATGGCGTACTTGATTCTGCACGAAATACATCATTTGAGCAGCGCCTTCTTGTGGCATTGAAGACAGGTGCCATGAAATTGCCGTACCATTAGCTCGGTTCTATCAACAATATGCTGTTAAAATGCAGGTGTCCACCAAGTTGAAACATGGAATACTTGCTCTTATTTAAAAGAGCAAGAATTGTACGGAGCCCTTGAACTACCGTGCCATCAACTCCCTCAGTGTTATCTATGGTACCGGAAGGCATAATCGCAGAGGCGCTCATAAAATATCTGGAGAGCAATAACCTCACAGTGTCACAGAAGCACAGATTCCTCCGAAATCGGTCCTACACAACAATCACTTTCCTAGTCAAATGAATCTAAACGAATTCAGTCCAGGCCACACCTGGAGTCGACGATGTATATTCGCTTCTCTAGGGCGTTCGATCGCTTGGACCATTGCATTCTTTGTCATAGATCTCGAAGCTATGGAACCAGTGTACCTTTGCTGGATCGCACAAGCAAATTGCTCATTCATTGTCAATTGAATGTGGGAGTATAAAGCTCCATTTTTCACCCAGTTTACGTCCAGTGTGGTAAGCCCCAAGGATCGGTACTTGGGCTACGTTTATTGCAAGTATTTATTAAAGATCTCACTAGTGTACTCCAGTCGAACCGCTTATTATTCACAAACGATGTCAAAATCTGGCATCATATCAAGACAGTGGGTAATCACGCTACGATGCAGAGAAATTTCGACAGGGCCTATACGCAGTCCTCCGAACACCGGTTATATTTCAACGTTACTGAAAGCTAACTGGTGAGCATACGCCATCAGCTTACCCATAAATTTGAACTTGGGGATCAGCGGTTGCAACTTATTTTCAAGTAAATCGACCTCGGGGTAATCGCGCAGGATAACCTTGGCCGCTAGAAACCGGCCGAAAAGGCAACGCGAAAAGTCATCCAGTACCTTGGATTCTTACGGAGAGCTTTCGGAAAGTTCCAGACATCAATCACTCTGCAAATGCTGAACATATGGAATTCACTATCTAAGCCTGCGCCCTTGATGCAAGCACGACGCTGATGCGGTTAAACAACCCCAACCTTGAACCTCTAAGCAGTTTTGGGGTTGTCTCAATTCCCCTACCAATTCAGACGGCAGTCCTTTGATACAGCGGTGAATATGAGCTTTATCGACGAAGCCACATCATGGTTTACTCAATCCGGAAGTAGCCGAATCACGTCAGTCGCGACCCGTTGCAGCTCATCCAAAATAGCGAACTTAGAGGCCACCAATCCAAACTACCTACTCACTACTGTCGACTTGCTTATCTCCCTTCCATTGTCCAGAATCTGGAACACCTTTCCTATTCACGTCATTCTTGCACCGACATTAACGCTTTGAAAAAACTGCCTTAGTTGTACGCCTTCCGACGTGTATTACTTGGTATAGTCAGTTTAACTCAGAGGATGACATAACGCGAAATAAACAATATGCTCAACACCCTTCTCCTCACCGTGACGTTGATGATATTTGCATTAGTGATCATGTGAATAGCTTGGATGTACGCAGTATTTTATACATCCCATTGACCCAATGGAGTAGCACACAAGTGAACGATGTCATTTCAATTTTTATTATTTTCTCACGGAGTACTTGAGTTATAACTGTCCACCCCATATTATTTTATGTGTGCAAATGCAATCCCCATTTCAAATTCTCATTACGCAGCATTACTGGTTAAGCGAGAGACACTTAAACTGACTATTCACTTATTTTATATTTCTTTTACTTTCTACTGTAACTATTTTAGGGGCCTAATCAAGCACTTGCTTGTTTACCCGTGATATGTCATTGTTCATTTGCAACTCAGCAGTAACACAAAATTGATAGGCCACTCCATGAAATTAGCGGAGCAGGAAAGCCGTCTAGAATACCACAGAAATTCCTTTCATAACCCGTGGAATACTCGCCCTGAATCAGAAGCTTCTGCACCAACAGTAGCCATATTTAAATGATGGGTGGATGATAACCTCACCCACTTACATTGTGTTACTTAGCACCATCTCACCATTCTACTTTTGGAATTCATCTTGGATTTGTTATCTGTCACTTGGTGAAGGGAAGCCAAGCGGGATACAGCGTAACCTGCAATACCTCTTTCTTAAGCTACCTAAGGTACTAACTGTTTTTGCCAAGATTTTTTGATAACTCCAACAGACAACCCAACCGGAGTTGCAAAGCAGTGTTTAGCAGTTTGCATAGTCATATTAAATTACTTTGAAAATTGTCGTTTGCAAGTGTCGTCTGCCCCTGTTCTGTGCAATAAAAACGACCCGGTTCTCAACCGGAATGTGATGTGATATGAAAAGTGGATATCTTACGACAATGGAGGACGCGCCAGCCAGTGGTTGGAACCCGATCAAACTTCACGACAATTCCCAAAGCCAAACTTGTTTATGAAAATGATTCTGGTGACTGGTGGTCTGCCATTGATGCGATGTTACACAGGTTTCTGAATCCAGGCGTAACTATTATAGAGTGGAATTACTGTCAACAAATTGCGCAAATACACCGCAAACGTTAACAAGTGCGCAGTGGTCAAATTTGAAATTGACCAATTATTCACCACAGTAACGCTTCGCAGATATCGCACATCCAACCCATCAGAAACTGTAGGATCTTGGCTAGGAAACTAGACCTCTCGCACCATACTCCAATGACCTCTCGCCTACCGCTTAGTAGCGTTTCAAGCACCTTAGTAACTTCCTCCGAAAAAATTGTCCTAACATACAAGCGTATAGTGAAACTGCATTCGACTAATTGGTTGCCACCAGAACTCCGAAATTTTATTCATTGGAGTTTATTAATATTGTTTCCCGTTTGAAAACTTATATCAATTCAAGTACATTTTAGTTTGCTTGACAAATGTCACCTTTGAACCAAGAAAGGTTTGTTCTATGATTAAAGACCACAATAACAATTTTAACAACCTACTAACCGTGGCACAAAACAGAGGAAGGTGGACTGTTTCTTCTCAACAGCGGCTTGTAGGTTAGCAATATTTAGGCATATGCAGTAGCTCATCAGCGAAAAGCTCTATACACTGTAAGACTTACGAGCTATAAACAGACAGGTTGGGTACGCGCATGTGAAACCACTTGTCCTCAACCTTCCTTATCTCTAGGCATTTCAGGGGTATCGTCAAGGTCCACAGTTTCGGTGAAGTTTCTTATGCTAACTGACTGATCAAGCGAACGGAGCCGAAGCAGGGTAGTGCACAGAAAGTCAGTCAAATTATACTCATTCAAACTTGCCATTTTTACGTGGGCATGTAATGCACGAAGTACGGCGTGGCTGAAGACAAGTGAATGGCTGGCTGTTCGGAAAAAAGCAATCGCGAGCGCATCAATCATGCTAAACCGAATGCGTGGGACGCAATGTCCGCTGCCCGGCTGCGAGGTTCGAACGGAAGTGCGGCCGGTCGACGGGAATGCAATCAACTATTTACTACAACCTTGATGGGTGAAAAAAGATGTCGGTACGGCTTGGCACCAACGAAACTGAATTTGGCACGAATTACGAAAGCTGCTTGACTGAACCGAGCGCATCCAGCGAACAGCGTTAAGGCATCTGGACTCAGACAGAGAGCATACGATGTGTAACGACATGTAAGCCACCGAAATCATTTTTAATAAGATATAATTTTAATTTTACGCATGGTATACTTGACTCTTGTGCTTATGAATAACAGATTTCTGGGCACTACATAGGTTTCGTGTTGACCCTGGGTGGATTACTAATCGACAGATGAGGCCAACATAGTTAAATCACTCCAAGTTGTTTCACACGACTTCTGTACATTGAACTGCATCTTGTCAAACTTGTAACGCCTGTACATACAAAATAGACTACAACTGCTAGGTAGATACTATTGACCGATACAGTAGCGACCACATGGCATCAGTTTTGACTAATTCATGAAAAACACTGCTACGAATTCAACCTTAAGGTTGTTACATGTCAATTGGAATCCGAGTATACGTCTTATACTAGTGGCCAATGCAACTAACGAACAAGTGACCAACAAGGTGGGGGACAAGGTAAGCTTTGCTCTGTTTCGCGGTCGGCCGCATAGAGATTATTGTGAGCTCAAAGTTCCGCGGTGCTCCTGTGAAGCTGTAACCAAGGAATGAACAACTCAACAATAGGGCACAAGAAATAGGGCATAAGGTTCCCTAAGAGAACACTATGTGCATCTCATCATATGTTTCTGGAACTCACACTGGAAGCAAATTACGGGAGTATATGGTCATCTGTCATATCCCGCAAACAAATATGGCCAAATACACCGTGTGAGGAGAGAGCGGCTCAGATACTCTCCACTTTAAGTCTTAAGAACAGCAGATGGGGAAACATTTCAACCGACTACCACTGGCCATGGCGTACTAGAAAGTCATGACCATTTTGTTGCAGACATTAACGTCAGCACTTTGATTTCATGAGAAAGTTCCAGTATCTGGCATTCAAATCTGGACTATGGAGGTTCCACCGTGCCTTCCAGACGGCTTTACGAAGGGTTTAATAGCAAGTGCGGTAAACACTACAGAGCTCATGTACTGAGTGTGGGATCAGCTGTGCCTTCTGCTTCGTGTAATTGTGCTTGCCTGCTTGGCTACCAGATTCCGACGTAAATCACACCAGAGTAAAATAATATGAAAGCTATTCATCTCGTAAGTAACCCTGTCGTCTTATATCTTTGTGTTTACTTAGACTCCCATGGGAAATTAACAACGTGACTAAAAAAATAAGTCGCACGTGCTGCTAAACTGTGTCAGGCAATGGGCGCTTTGTGTACTTTTACCGAGGGAAATTAACTCACCCCTGGCATGATCACGCGTTCAATGTCAGCCATAACATCTTCCCATGGTTCCGGTTGTTGTGGGGCTTCTTTGGGCAGCAGTAGGGACAAGTAACCCGGAGGAACGGTAGGAAAGACTTTTCTTTTCTCAATACTTTCCAGGTAGTCTGCGACATAATTGACCATTTCTGATCCCTGCTGTCGAAACTGTTTGTGATCCAACAGGGGTGCTGCAGTTGGCCTTACGCCATGTTCGCAGCAGTTATCAATTGCAGCTAAAAGAAGGCAGCATTCGCAGTTAAAGAGAATTGGATATGTTAAATAGCGCTGTTTGGTATAACATAAATACAGGGTAGAAAGCTAGACAGTTTGCTGTGCTTCAATAATCTCAGATCCTAGCTCTACTTGGGTCTTAATCTTGCAATAAAAGTTAAATGCTTTATGCTACACAAGTGACGGTATGGAGAGAGGAACTTATGCTGCCAAGGGACTGCAGCTTAAAGTTGCAGAATCCTGGGCTTCCAGTCTGAAATGCGACTTTTTCCATCTGATCACTAGTCGGTGTATGGACCAAACAGAAAGGCGAAGTCAAAAATAAGACAGAAGGAAGCATTGTTCACCAAAACCAGCGACGAACGATGATACCTTTGTCATGTGGCGGGAAATAGGAATCATGCATGCTACAAAAGCCGATACAACTCCTGTCCAACCACCGTTTAGCCCCAGAATAACTGCGCTGCTAACAACATCAAAAGTTTTACTACAATCGTGCATAATATCGATCAATTTGAGCATTATTATATAAGGAAATATTGAAGCGATAAAAGTCATGATTGAAAGTAGTGACACATATTTCTTCATGGTTTAGGGGGGAATACGAACGCAGACAACAACCAGTTAAAAGGAGTTGGAGAGGGCAGCACCTGCAAACCGCAAGCAAGCGAGTTGACGTGAGCACAGTTCAAAAGACCAGCACGCGAGCGTACCCTGCCTTGTGAGGGTCAATGGTAGCAGCGCGTCCCACAGCGTCCAAAAACACTAACGTCACATGCATTAAAATGGTACGAAACTTAGACCAACGATGTGGTGACAACCGACAACATTTGTGATCAGAGTAGGGGCAGGGCCAGTGGACTGAACATCAACCAGCTGCTGGCCATGGGAGCTGTTCACAACTGCTTGGATCGGATGAACAATAGTGAAGTCTAGCACGGAACTGCACAGTATGGTCTCAGGTGAAGCAGACGTGGGTTGGACCGAGTATAGCGGAGGGATAAAGAAAACTAGCCAGTGGAAACAGTTATGTCGGAATAGCGATAGCTATTTATGTAAGTCTGAATAGCGCTACTAATCACGAGCGCTACCAAGGCTGCATCTAACTTCTGACATTAGTGTGATTGAGGTGCACTGCGATGAAATCATCACTGTTCTTCTGTGGTTGTCTGTGACATTAAAACTGAAGTAACGTTGGATAGCTACCGGAATGGTCATCTTTAGTCTAGGAATATTTACTTTGCTGTAAAAATTACAAAGCTCCCCTGCTTGTGGTTGTCTACAGCTGACATACTATATTCCTGCACGGCAACAACCACGGGATCTTCTGTGTGGAGACAGTTCAAAGTCATCCACTCTACTTGGGTCCAAAGTGTCACTTTTAACAAGAAAGTACACAGTTACAACTGTGAGCTGCTGTAGAGAAGTTTGCTTGTTCAAGTAATGCTGCTCAGGGTTTATGTGTCAAAAACGAAGAAAGCGTAAAGTCGAGCGAAATTTTGTAGTTTTATAGCAGAAATCATAATTTCGATGAAACAAGTTTTGCTGCTGCCGTCTTTTTAGTAGGCATATCGAATACGAGTTTGACTTTCGCTTGGCAGTCATAATGTCGCTAAATTGCAAATCGAAACGGGAAAAGTCAATCCATGGGGTGAGTTGAGGACGAACCGGACAACAATTGGTATGTGTGCGAATCTAGGTACAACACTGCACAAAGCGAAGGAATATGGTTTAGCCGCTAACGGTACATTAGGTTTGCCATTCTGTTGACCAGGTTGCACCAAAAAATTTTCACTGCGGGCCGCATGACTTAAAAATGGACAAGTGCGGGCCGTTTAATCGTTATGCATAATAGTTGCAAGCCATAAAAATGACGGAAAAACTAACGAATAAAGCGCGACACTGTGATTAACTTTCGCTTAGTAGCCTCAGTGAAGGCTAAAATAAGTGAGAAATGAAAAAGAAAATGATATTGATTTACGAGCATAATAAAATGACTATTGAACCACTAGAAAAACAGAAGACTGTGTCATTGGGGCAACTACGGACCATCAAATATACACGTAAAACTCATTGCTAGCATCGGTAACGGAATATATTACGTGAATGAATGCTATGGATATAGTAATAGTATGTAGAAATTATATATATATACATATATATATATTTGTATATATACGTATGACGACATTTGTTTATGCATGTGCCATTTTGATGCCATATTTGGAAAGAATTGCAGGTTGTTAGTACAGGATTGCGCTAGAAGCACAAATTGTCATGGTTCGTACGTTTTAGTATTGCAAAATGCATATAGGTAGCACAGGTATCCGATTCCAGCGCTGTTCGTTTATTTTACTCAGTTGGAAACGCCTTATTTAACCCTTCCAAGGGCATTGTTCCAATATAAATATAAATATATATGTACATTAAATGGAATTTTTTCCTAACCTGGCCTCAAACTGACACGTGCATAAGCTAACGTCGCCTTAATAAGCCTTTATATATTTATGTATATATATATGGCACGCGCTTCAAGGGACCTGACTAACGGATGATTGCGGTACGAAGCCTGAGGTAAAGAGAAACAGGGAGGATGTTTTGATGCACTGGTTTCATACGTGATCACTCGCATCAATAATCCAACTGTATGGGATCACTTATAATATATAAGTACGGTATCCCAGGTGGCAATCATGAGCTTACTCAAGCCAGTGTTCAAACGATATAAAGTCACGAACAACACTGCATGTTGTGTCAAACGTAACCTATATCTTAACGTTTGTTGTTTCATACACCTTACAAAGCAAATGGGGGTACACTCGGCGGACCTGCTGAACTGACGTCGCGGACCGGATCCGGCCAGCGGGTCGTAGTTCGGTGAACCCTGCTGACGAGCATAATCACTTCCAGTATTTCGCTATGTTATTAGAACAGCTTGTGGTCCAGACAGCGTTTACATTCTTGACGCGACGCACGCTGACGCAATACCAGCGGCCAACCCGAAGATGTTTAAATTGCACCCCTTAAATGCTTAATTAATTCAGCAGGTAACCACCAGGTTATCACTTTGCTCCCAGCCATATTGGCTAATTATGATTTTTCAAAGTACGGGCAAACAGCGCCACCAGTTTCTGAGTATTCGGTTAATTGTACTGCTTAACTAAGGAGCGTATATTTCGCGCGAGATTGACGTCAGTTTTTAGTAGTAAAGCACTTATTTACAGTTTCCACTTATAATCAAACACTGAACGCGAGTAAAAAGCATTTATATTGTAGCCCTCAACAATGCACATGTCCACCCGAGTTTTGTGGAGCAGATCAAGGTAATCCCCACAGACAGATAAAGGTTATCCCTATACACGTGTGATGTATGTGCTATTGTTTCATTTGGATTATTCCCCTCTATCCTCTCTTCATCTTCTCGCAGCGTTGTCACTGTCCGCTCACTCGAACGGGATTTATCAGCCCCTCACAGTGATCCATCATACGTGGAAATATTTTTTACACTTAGAGTCTCGACCATCATTAACTGTTTTCACTGGCATCCGTGATTAAGCGCAAGCGGTTGACTCAATCACATTGAGTCGATGACCTTTCTGTGTGACACCATTCAATACAGAACCCTCGAAGCAGGCCGAAAAGCCTCAGCTTATTCCGATCCAAAGTTTCTCCACACAGCTGTGAAAGAATTTGTGATCTCTCAATCTGTGTTTAGCGCTGTGTTCACATGCAGTTGGCAGGTTCCAGTCACTGACCCTTCCTTTTGACCTTGTCAGCCAGTGCGCCGGCACAACCCATCACACGGACCGCGCGACCACGCCGACCGCTCATTTGACTTTACAACTACCACGCTCATCTGACTGATGTGCGCCGCTCTCAAAGCTGGAAAAGTAGAGAACATTAACCAACGTCCTGGGTCAAGTAACGACACCACATTAGATAGTAGCAATTCGAAACCGAAAAGGCTCCAAGCGAAAAGCATTTGCGGGTTAGGGGAATGTCATCGGGTAGTTAAAACCAGTCTGGCTTGCTGGCACTGTTGGGAATGATATCATACGAAATGTGCAAATGCGTCCCAACAACAGGTACGGGAGATAAAGAGCTCCCAAGATGCACTTTAGATCTGTACTGCCTCCTCCACCATCCCACTCGTGAAGTACTTGCTTATCTTAGCCCAGAAGTGTGACCGGTTAATGGCAGAAGCCCAGCAAAAAATAAACAATATTACCTCAATGGATGCGTTTATGCGCCGCGGAAACGTAGCGGCTTCTAAGCAACGGAATGCTGCCCAATCCGCTTCCCCTGGATCGCAATCAGTCACATCCCCAGTTCCGTTGTCTTCTCCAACTTCTCCAACACTCACGACAACGAAAACATGCACCCAATCGAAACCACTGGTTAAGCGGATTCCTCTAGATCAGACATCTTGCATTAACAAAGGTGAAGCAGCCGAACATCATCCCTCGGTACCTGTAGCTCAAATACCTCTTGTCGAGACACAGTCCCCCGAAATATCGGTTACATATGAAGAGATTGCAGCAAAGGTCCACCGGGAGGTCGCCGTTACGGCCCCTTCTGCTGTAAACACCATTAAATCGAATAGAGGGACAAAATATAAACAGCCGATACTTGTCAGCAAACTAGGACAAACGATTACCCTAACTTGCCGGTCAACATAAAAGGAGTCAAACAATAGCGTCCGGACTGTTGTGTACTCAAATGTCCCTGAATCTACCGCCATCACATTGCGGGATAAGTTATCGGACGACCAAGACCAATGGAACTCATTATGCTTGCAGATGAGTGTCAAAGCCAAGCCCATACACTTGTTACGAATTACTCTTCATCCGAACTCACCACAATATGGAGAACCTAGACTTATTTGAGTAACACTATAGTCTCGACCGAGGTAAAAAGAAAAAATATTTCACCTTCCGCAAGCGCGCTAAAGCACGGATCCTGTGGGATACGTATCTATCCTGATGTCCCTTAAAGCGCGCGA